TAATCACTCAAGTGTTTTATTCAAGTATTCTTTTGCTAGCTTGATGTGTATTCTTAAATGGGTTAAAATGTGAACAAAAAAAAATTAATTTTTTAAAACTACTTTCAGTAAATTGTTTTCTGTGTGAATATTCAATTTCACTTTAAAAAGTTTGAAAAATCTGTTACATTTAGATAAAAAAAAACTTCCAAAATACTTTTACAATTATTATTAAGCGTTCGAGGCCGCACTGGAAGTTCTCTGGGGCCGCGAGTTTGGTCTAGATTGAAGTTTTCCAAAATATATACCAGTATTTTATCATGAATCATGATTATACCCTTTCCTGAATTTCTTCTACAGTACTACCAAAAGTTGATGGACCAAATATAACACAGGTGTAGTGAGTGACCCGAAATCCTCATTTTTCAAAGCTGTTTTAAGTATGCCTGGCATGTTTTGTGCTTTTTCACAAATAAGACCGCTTATGCAATCTTACGCATTGGAATTTTTAGTTATTTTCCTCAAGCCTTGCAGGATGTAGGGGCCATACACAACTCTACCGGAGGGTCAAATGCATTTGCATGCCTCCATAGGTTGTTCTTCTATTGCAAACATTTATGGAGTATTCTAATTATATTTCTTGGAATCACACTGTCACTGATATGTCGCCAGACTTCTGATATCTCCCCTTCTGCTACAGTTGTCCTGTGAATAAATAATAGGAAATTGAGATTAGACGAATAGTTGAAAGTTTTGCTTTATGTCGGCTTAATTTCTTGATTGATATACTTACTATTTTTGCTATTGCCGCTTGTGCTGCAGGAGTCTCACAATGCTAGACAGGTTTTTCCACAACATTCACGTCTGAAGAAAGAGAGGAGATTTATTAATTTTCGTCAAGAATAAATAAAGCAGTCTATATGATTTAGAATGGAAAAGCTAATAAATCCAATATCCCATGTCTATGTAAAATATGTTTTACTGAATTTGGTATATAAACCAACTAATAAAAGGGTTTAGTCAGAAAATTACAAGCATTCTTATACTTGAGAGATCAGACTATACAATATAGACCGGTATGAGTAAAATGTTAGGTGAACTTGTTAACCCTTTGATTCAATACGCAAATAAAAGTGATTGAGCAATAGTATGTTACAGCAATGAGTATATATCCTCACTGATTAAAAAATCTAACTGGAGGTGCATGAACTATTTGAAACCATAAGGGGTAAGTAAATATGCAATTTCGGCAAATGGACAACTACGTACCGTACTAAATTAATAACTTCGTAGTATTTGACAAAAGCTGGCTTTCCCACATGTACTAAACAGTGCGATGCCCGGGTGTGATATACAACAATAGTATTTACCTTACCTTTTTCCAATTTCTTTCTACCTCAACTTTACAAAATATCATTAAAATCGACAACAACTGTCAAAGCAGGCACGAACACCATTCGTGTATTCCTTGAAAGCAGCACACATCCGCTCGTTTTCGTCTCGTCAAGTATGTGCATTGGAGCGTGCTAACGGATACGATCTCCGGCCAAAAATGGCGGAGTTGCGCATCATGTTGTTTAATGTCATTGGGTAGACCTAGGAAGATATGCTCAAAACAATACGGCATTTTCATGCTTGTATGATTAATTTAATGACTGAGGTGAGATCGCTGATAGTTACTTCAGCATGTCCTGGGTATTTAAGACGTGAACATCAGTAATACACCGGTAAACTATATTACAGGGAATTGTCCCTGTATTATGAGGACGTCGAGAAAAGGATTTCCTTGGTACTGTGCGAGAAGTGTGCAAAACTCCCTATTGTGTTGTGTGGTCATCTGAAACGAGAGACTAAATACAAACTAAAAATTTAATCTGCAAATCCAATTAGCGACTGAAAATGAGGAAGTGATTATTGTAAGAAAGGAGCGAAGGCATAAGATATACATATATATATATATATATATTTCACAAAATATAATGCAGAACATCATAAATTTCGTTTTCAAAGCTCTATTTTTGACCTGATAAATCCCAAAAAAGGATGCTAGGTATGACTATTTACAAGTATTCGATTCCTAAATTTCCGATTCTCGATTCCGAATATCGATTCTTCGACATATTTCACCGAGAAAACATACCTACCTAAGCAATACTATATAAAATCAAACAAGAGAGCTATGTTCAAATATATGGACGGAAAAGAAAACCAAAAATAGGTAGTATGGGTATCCGATCTGTCACAGGAGACAAAATCGCACAAAAAAAAGAATCCCTCAGAACCTAAAGGGATTCTAAAAATAAATAAACGTAAAAAACTTCTAGCAAAATATATATATAGTGAAGTTTGCGGCGTCGTAGCAACTCAACCTAGCAGTAAGGCAGTTTATACATATATGTGAAGAAATTGACACAAAACGTTGCACCTTGTTAGCAATTCAAGTTTTGACCTCGAAAATCGATTCCAATGCATCAGAATCGATTCTAGTCGATTCCGCGAAGAATCGATTCTGTATTCGAATCCGGACTCGATTCCGCCATCCCTATTTTTCATCGGATCGGAAACTATAGCAAATTACAGCGGTTCCCAAATATGTGTTTGTGCTACGCCATATCGCCGCATTATTTCAAAGTTGTAATTGTACTCGTGGGATTTTATGACCGACCTTGGAATTTTGCAAATGGTGATTTCTTAAAAATAATCTTAAGTAGCTCAAATTAATCAAATGACCAAGATCGCTCCTTTTCTTAATATATAATTAAATTAATTATAATATATATTAAATTGATATGGCAAGACATTTTTAATTCTAGTAATAGTCTTGAACTGAATATTTTGCGCAACAGAAAAACCATCAACGGTGAAAAAGTCGGCAATTTCAACAAATGGGTAATCACGACGACTATTGCCATTGGAATTTCCGTTTCCTATTTTGGATACAAAATAAAATCAATCAAATAACACTTGCCTCCTAAATCCCAAGTTACAGTAATTTTGTTCGTAAACGACAGGAATGCGCATCATTTATTCTCTTTGATTTGAATAATCTATTTATCAAATACGGTCATCATGACCGCAATTGTTACATTGTGCTATCTTTATTATTAACGTTATCCTAGCCCATTAGCCCAGCTGTTTTTTTTTTCTATCAACTTTATTTGCGCTGCTGCCGTAATTTGCCAGCCCCTCTAATAACGGCCCATTGATTATTGTGTCTAGGACTTTGGGTATTTGCAAATAACCGTTTCAGATCATACTGAATCTTGATCATCCGGCCCACTCAGGAAAGTAATTACCCACCCCTGGCCTACACTATACTCAAGTGTATTCATCGGATATTCACGTGGGGAAGAGATGGGCCTAACTTGGCACGCAAGCACGGCTATCCGGTACGCGAGCGAGATCTCGGAATCTTCCTCTTCAAATTTAAAAGGATCGTATTATCTGATGGAACTCGGTGTTTGTTTTTCATCTTCGTTTGTTAACAATCTGTCATTTAATTAAACTAATTAAGAAATATGTTATAACGTAGGCCTAGCAACAAGCTGAGCTCCCAACCTTCGGCACATTTTTGCCGCTCCAGAGGTATGTGTACCAATATGGAGATTACTGATTTTGTTCGCCTATTTTACATCAAATTCTGCAAAAGAACTGAAACCTATGGGCACGGGGATATTCACTTGGTCAACACAGACAGTCCCCGAACTCGTAATAGAACTATAATAAAGAAAATCGGAATAAAATTATGGCTTAACCCTAACCTGGCACGAATACTTCTGAAATACCCATATTTGTTTATTTCCGCAACAATTACAAATCAGCAATAGGTTAACAATGACGTAGAAATTGGAATCTATGGCGCCGATCAGACACTTCTTTTGATCAGTCAGATATTCGAAAATAGCTGGGAACCAAATAACTTAATTGCCTATGCCTTCCGAGGATCTTCAGTTTAGTTACAATAATCAAAAATTGATACCGCAAACGCTTCGATAGACTATTAGCTATCAGTACCTAGGATCGGAACAAGGTTTATTGTTTTGAATAAAAATGATAGTTTTGGACGTGTGCGCTAGTTTGTAAGAGCCAACTCTCCAAAACACTCTCAAAATTAGCATTGAAAATTTTGTAATGATAAAGTATAGTGAGAATCTTTTAAGGGTCGGGGAAACGTCCGGCTACATTCTTACACAGTATAATCAATTTGTCTGTGTTCGTGTTATTCATTTCTACTTGATTTATGATTATGAAGCTGTATATCGCATGCTGAATATACTTGCTTGTTAACTTCTCGATATGAATTGATTTTCAAATCTACATCCTGATATGGTCATGAATCGCTGTTCTCGGTTATGAACTTTTCTCGTAATAGTTTCGTAATACAGTATTAGCAGAAGCCAGACTTGCAGGTTGCTATTATCATGCAGGTTTTGCACTGAATGTACCCGTACGGTCCGTACCGGTAGCAATGCATTATTTTTGAGGTGAATAAATTCAATATTAGTTTAATGTGTTTTCACTGTTTGGAGGAATTTTCATCTATTCTTCAAGATCCTTCACATATAACTTAAAAATGCTAGTAGCTACAGTAGTGGTATGTTATCATAATTTCGGTTGATACTGGCACGCCGGAAAATTTTGTCGTTTTTGGCAAGCAAACCAATAAAAGGTTGTATGACTAACATTCTTTTATTTCATGGTCTTTTTTTGGTAACAATTCCCATTTTTTTTCTGACTTCATGAATAAGTGCCTCGCTTATGTGGTGATCAATCGCGTATCACTCCTCCAATCCTCTGTTTTAAACCACATTATTGGGTTTAGTTATTGCACCTTACATGTTCAACATTTAATTTAAATATATTTAACTAATTCATGATTCTTTTAAAAAGTATTACACCCATTTTCCCTTTTTCAAAGAGCTCAATTTTCAAGTGTCCACTTTTAGTCCGTCCCCCAGTACTGCGTTAGCTTTACTTTTGTTTTTTATTTTCCTAGAGCTGCCCCGAAAGACATATTTTTTTTTATTATAAAAATTTTGTATAAATTTTTAGGTTCTATTTGGTAGAATACGGTACTGCAATATGAGTTCAGGTAAAAGGAGAAATATTCGTAGGAAAAGGCAGGAGTCTAGCGATGAAGATGAAGATAAATCTGTTGTAGGCATTGTGGAAATAACTCGAGAAATGCAAAAGATTCGCAAGCGCCAGGCAGGAGTGAATGCAGTTGCTTTGGCTACTGGTGCCAAAATGACAAATGAGCAAGAACTACTGATTGAAAATGATCCATTCAAACTAGGTACTGGTGGACTTATTGACATGAGAAGAGTGAAAGATAGAAATCGAGATCGAACATATGAAGATACAGATCGTGATGTGACAAATTTGGGAACAACTTTTTCAGCTGAAACAAACAGAAGGGATGAAGATGCTGAATTGAAAATATATATTGAAAAAGAATTACAAAAGCGGAAGGGTATCACGAACGATGATGAGAATAAAACTAGCAATATCAAATCAGCTGAAGATCAATTGTTTGCCCTTCCGGATCATTTGAAAATTTCTGTGAAAAATCAATCTGAGGAAATGTTATCAAATCAAATGTTGAGCGGCATACCTGAAATAGATTTAGGAATTGAAGCGAAAATTAAAAATATTGAGCGTACAGAGGATGCAAAACAAAAGTTAATTCATGAGCAGTTAAACAGAAAGAAGGCAAATTCTACATCATTTGTTCCAACTAACATGGCTGTTAATTATGTTCAACACCGGAGATACATGTGTGAAGATAATGATTTTGCAAAAAAGAAAGAACAAAAGCAAGAACAAGAACTTGCACCACTGGTTGTTGGTAACACATCTCGCCAACCTACAGTAGAATTGATGAAAAAGCGAGAAAATAAAGATAAAGCTTCGGATGACTTTCATTATGATAAATTTAGAAAACATGCTCGGAGATTTTAAAATATTTTTTAATTTAACCCATGATACATTGTGAGATTTATGATAAACCTGTTTTTTGCTAATCGGAGTTTGCGGTGCAATTCCAGTAATATCAACCAAATTGAGTGTAACAATGACATTTCTAAATTCATATAAATTACATCTAACTGGACCCAATGAATACACTCAAAGCATACATGTATGGTTATTAGGAATATATTTTGAAGATTGATGTAATTGTCTCGTAGTATCGATTCAGTTTCAATGGGTGTTGGCTGGTATAAATAAAAAATTAGTAACATATATCATGTTTGGTCTTTATTGATCAATTTTATGTAATATCATGCTTATTTAAACCAAGGTATTCTGTTGAATTCTAAATAATTAACTCTATAATGAGAGTGATTGATTATGCCAAATTTTAGTTACAAAAAATAATTTCAATATTGTATTTATGGATGTCAAATTATTTTTGTTTAACGCTCAATAACTGCCCCAATTTATTGCTTTCTTTGTTTTACAGTTGACAGTGCAAGTAGGGCATATTTTGTTGGTCTTGTCTTTCAAGTTATGAATAGTATCGGTGAAGATTGCACACCCTTGAAGTGGGAATACGATAAATGCTTCAATCAGTGGTTTAGGGAAAGCTATTTGAAAAATAAAAGTGTAACACATGAAGACGCATGTGGAACTCTTTTTCAGAGTTACAAAAATTGTGTTAAAAAGGCATTGAAAGAACAAGGAATTGATTTAACAGATTTAGAAAAGTCAATGTTGAAAGGAGAAGATGGAAGATTTTCATCAACCCAAAGTTAACCTTTGATATTTTAACGTAATCATGGATATATCATTACAACAGTTGCATTTATGTGCTTTTTTCATACGTATTGGACTTATTGTGTATGGTGAATGGCAAGATAAAAACTTGGAACTCAAATTCACTGATGTCGATTATCATGTTTTCACTGATGCTGCTCAATATGTCTTTAATGGAGAGTCTCCTTATAACAGACCCACATATAGATATAGTCCTCTACTCGCATGGATGTTGGTACCTTGTCATATTATTCATATTCTGTGGGGAAAACTAGTTTTTATTTCTGCTGACTTATTAGCTGGATGGCTTATACAGAATACAATGGCAATAAATCAAGATGAAGGAAAACTTACTAAAATAGCTTTATCTATATGGTTGTTTAATCCAATAACTATGACCATATCAAGTAGAGGAAATGCTGAATCGATAATGTCAGTTCTTGTTTTGGGTACATTATATCTGCTTTCCAAGGAGCGATTAATTTTAGCTGGCATTTTTTTTGCCATATCTGTCCATCTCAAGATATTTCCTCTAGTTATTGCTCTGGCTGTCTATCTTTTTTTAGGGGACGGTTTTGAAGGTCGACATAATAAACTTTATGTTCATGAATTTTTAGCTATTCTGTCTCCGTGTGGTGCTGTGAATGTAATCAAAAAAGTTTTTTCAAAAGAGAGGACTTATTTTTTTCTGTCATCAGTTATTACATTTGTGCTCATTACATTTCTGTTTTATTTTTTATATGGTCATGACTTTTTGGAACATGCTTATTTTTATCATATTACCAGAAAAGATATTCGTCACAATTTTTCAATCTATTTTTACATGCTTTACACCAGCTCCGATTGGTGGCTTGGATTGATATGTTTCTTCAATCAGGTTTTAGTTACTCTATGCTTATCTGTTGCTTTTTATAAGGATCTTCCTTTCTGTACTTTTTTGCTTGTGTTTTCATTTGTTACATTCAACAAAATTTGTACATCACAATATTTTTTATGGTATTTGACAATTTTGCCACTTGTTATCCCAGGTTTGGCCAATGTAAATTTGTTTGAAATCATCGCTGCTGTTTTCCTATGGGGAGGTGGACAAGGAATTTGGCTGGCATCTGCTTATGTCCTAGAGTTTGAAGGACAAAGGGTGTTTTTGTATGTTTGGGGAGCAAGTGTTCTGTTTTTTATCATTAATGTAATAGTTATTATTTGGTTCATGAAAAGGTATGTGGATTTTCCATCATACATGGTTCGGGGAGTGAGACACGAACAGAAAACTTCTAAAAAAAGGATTTGAGGATTGATACACTATTTTTTTGTCTTGATAATTACATATTTTATGGTGCAGCATTTTAAAACTCAAAGAAAAAGCTCCCTTTATACTGTACTGAAGTTGTATCAAGTTGAATCTCATTTGAAACATGAATTTGTGACATTTTGCAGTTTTGCTCTCAAATGAACAAAATTGTTTATCGATTATTTTGAATTGAACAATTTCAGTTACCTTGACGTCGCAGACTTTTCTGGTTGAAATTAGGGAATTGGTCGAAATTGTTTTCTTACTCTGTTAACAATTTTTTGCATGTCATAGTTTGAAATATTGTTCATTCTCTTCATTTTTTTGTGTTAATTTCATGTAGAATAGACAGTGTGTGAATGCTTTTTAAAAATTGTGTGAAATTTGTATCAATGGAATGGTTATGCCAATGTTTCCCAAACGGGGAGGTAATATCACTTTATATTTATGGCATTTCAATTGTCGCCATCAGTTCACGGTGTCGACATGGATTCTTGGTGAGGTCATTCCGTCACACGCCTAGTTATGCCTATATCCCACTCCGATTAATGATAGTGATTGTATAGGAGGAAATAGGACGTGGCGTCTGCTCTAATGACAATTTTGGAGTGTCATTCTTATTCACATTTCAATGAAATATTATATTTTACAACTGAAGTTACGATGACTCGGCAGTGTGGCGCATCGTGCTGAGCGTTAGGAATAGGTATAGGCAATATAGAATAATTTACTATTCTAGAATTGTTAAATCGGGTCCAGAATACCGAATCCTATTCTATTTTTATACTTATTTAAATAGTGGGAATTTCCCACATTGCTGGATTTAGATTTTAAATTGTAAAAACAGGCATTTCCCAGGACAATAAAATTTAGAAATATTATAATATTTTTTGCCTCGAATTGTTCAGAATGTATGTAATGCCTAAATACTGATATGATAAATTAAGACACGCTCTATACACTTTAATGGTAAACGGTTAATTACAAAAATATATATTACACGGAATTAAATCATCAATGTTAGTGTGCTGAAGCCTGAGAGTACTGAAGCACATCCGCTGAGAACTAATTAGATGCAGGTCCAGCGTGTGGCCACTGCAACCTATGAGAGTGGTGTAAAGTATTAAATTTACCAATAACAATCTAAATCTACTATTAGTCCGCGTTTTTATTATGTGCGTGCAAGACTTGTAAAACAAAGTTTGCGTAATCATGATTTCGCACTTAGTTAATAGGTAATAACATCTGAAGAAATCCGTTATATATATATATATATCTACCCAGACTTGGCCCTGCTTAACCTCAATAAGTTTTTAAATTTATCGTCGACTAAAATACCACAGACGCTCAATCAAACGTATGTCGATCTTGAACGATAGAAACGAACTCACCGACTTGAACAACGAAAAATATGTAATCTTTCGGGAGTGAAAAATAAATGTGACAGTTCGTCTTGTTCTGCGATATAACTTTCGTTTTTCGGAAAATAGTGTAGTAAAAGTAATCAATTGTTCGCAAATAATATTGGATCTAAATTAATCGAAAATAATGTCATAACATTTGACGCCTGGCTTTTGGTTTACATGATTTTGTTGTGGAAAACTCGCAAGTCGCGAAAATCATTCAATGTAAATTGAAGCCTGGCACGCCTGGGAAAATTGAAGATTGTTACAATCAGTTTATCGGAATATCAGTCGGCACAAATAATTATTATTATGGTAGTAGATAGTAAAGCGGAAAACGCAAAAAATGGTGCAATAACGACTCCTCGCCGTGAGGTGTTCATCGCCGTCCTTCTGTTCTGAATAGCCGGGTAAGACTACCTTGTTTAATGTTTACCGATCTTGCGGGTTCTTTACGGAAAAACGCAAGTATTGACGCATGGCGCTGAAGTGGCGGGAACCGAATCCCGTTATCGGATCCTGTTGAATTCGAATTCTCCGAATTCGGTATTCTATATTGCCCATCCCTAGTTAGGAATACGCTGACCATCGCACCTCTGATTACCCTGCGTGGGTTCGAATCCTGTGGGGAATTCCGGACTATTCGCCACCGTAAGGTGGTTCACGTAACCGCTGGTCGGTTATGGCTTCGCTTCCTTCACAATTGAGTCCATGCATCTGAAAACAAACAACTGGCTGTCTAATACCATAACCGACATGGACTTATCATGATCAAATAATTATTCTGTCTTGTTTCACTTGAAATAGTCTTTCTGATCATGACTTTATTTTAGTTTGGATACTGACTCAAGGGTATAATGTGCACGAGGATTAATTACATTAATGCAGTTCAATTACAAATACAATTACTCCCTTTAATGTTTAAATTACTATTACTTCGTGCAAAAAATAGCAAATTACATTTACAGTTATTATAACATTTTGGTTATTTACATTTTCACTCGCTCAAAAACTTGATATCAATTGCACTTGATAAAGATTAGGCTTCGAGATATTTCTGACCCTAATACATTTCTTCTTGCCGTATAAAAGTTACCCGCAATTGAAAATACGCTTTCTGACGGGGCTGATGTTGCTTTTAGTCCCAAATCCTTGGCTCAAGAAGCAAGCGTGGGAAAATTCTTCTAATTTCTTCTTCCAATACATTAATGGGTCTTTATCAAATTGCAAAATTTCTCCCCCCAAATAGCTCCCTTCTTCACTTTCTGATTTCCTCGGTCTTTTCTTTTTTAAATCTTCTGCCATCGCTGGGAAGAAGAAGTTTGAAAAAATGACTTGATAGGTGGTTGGCTATGATCAACCTTAGCCTTCATCGTGTTTCCTTGTGTTTTCTCTTGAAGTTTATGTATTTAGGATATGGATGAGGAGAACATCTCTTCAAGTGCGTGATCAAGTTCGACGAAGCCTTGGTTGGGAAATTATGTTTCTTTTTGCAGTTGTTACCAGAGTTGGATCAATTGTAATTGATGTAATTAATTACAGTTTTTCATGTAACTGTAATGTAATTGAGGCATTTTCATTCTGTGTAATTGTAAATGTAATTGTATTTTGCTAACATTTTGGAACATTTTAAAATCATTTTCAGGTAGTTACCTTATGTGCGCTACGAAACTGAAAGATAAATGGCCTCGGCTCGCGGCCTAATACAAACGTCAAGCAAACATGTTCAAATAAATATTAAATGAAAGGGAATCTACGTTATTGGCCAGTTATATTGTAGCCCGCAACATCGCTTAAAAGAATCGCCGGTTTGTTGAAGGGGAATTACTCCGTGAATATATCCTGCAAGTTTTGGAAGTCATTTCTTCTGATATAAAAAGTAACTTTTTCAGCATCCGTCTTCCTAACAACAAACACAATTATGAACCTAACAAATTAAAACTTCGGTTCAGACTGACAGACAATCTTTTGAATGCGTTGTTGCAAATACAATGTAATGAATTGGAGCCACGTTTTGAATATTTGATTTCGAGCCAACCCGAATTGCATATACATCCACTAAGGCTAAGCTAACTAAACCTAACTATGTTGGCATTTCGTTTTTATATATATATGTATTATGTATAAAGTCAACAAGTTATTATATATGTACAAGCCACAAGAAGCCATTTATACCGGGCCGCATGCTAGTTCAGCAAGTAACTTAATTAGTCACTATGAGTTGCAAATTTATTGTTGAAAGTCGTGCTTGGTATTTATTCCTCGGGTATTCTATCACCTAACCCTAACCCTAACTAATATATTTATTAATTTTATTACATAACAAACTGCGATGCTAGGTGTATCTAAAATCAATCTTGCAGCCTATTTTATTGCCTAATCAATCTTGCAGCCTATTTTATTGTTTCAACTTTTTTTCCGGGCGCTTGAGCGCGCCCTGAACCCCAGCCGCGCCGTCGCGCCCTTCCTGCCAATCCCCTTTTCTGGCCCGCGAATATTCTTCTGCTTCAATTTTGGGTCCGCAAACAATCAACTTTTAGAACCCCCTATAGTTTGCCAAATACGTTACTAATTTTAATGATTTACAATATATTTACCACCCCCTAAATCCCCCCCCCCCCCTTAAATGAAAAGCTGGGGAACATACTGCACCCACCCTTCAACAATCTCGTCACATTTGCGCACATCGTTGCCATAGTAACGAATCGGGGTAAGTTATACATTTTGAGAATTTGAATTAGATTATCCCGTTAGTCGTGCCAATAGTAGCCTATTTCAGTCTGTATATATATCAACTATCTCTCCTGAAATCGTTTTATAACAGGATCAAGTCTTGAAATTCCCAAACACAGCAAGACGTAGAAACAAATAGATATAAATGACATTTTCATAGAGTAAACTTGGCATATATATATATGTAATAAGTGGGTCCGTAATCGGGCCACTACACACAAATATTGCTATGGGAATACGAATCAGAGTGTCGTGGATACAGTTTTGTGATATTCTACAGGCATGGAAAGGGCACAATTTAACGTCCCCTTAATGACTGTTTTTGGGATGTAGGCCTATACTTCTTCTTAAAGCGGTATTCGTCATTTTGTGCCCTATCAATTTTACAGCCCTTGAAAAAATTGCTGAGGGTATGGAAGAAAGTGCAGACATCTGTATTGCGTGAATCCAGTATCCACGAGTCATTCTTGCTTTTCCAATGGAACTCATTAAATTGGAAGCAAATTTGGCAGGTGATGGAACCGTCAAAGAGCTTTTATTTTGTGTCACCACTCTTGTCATGTTAGTACTAACCATTCCTGGCTGTATACTCTGTACAATAATCCCTTTATTTTCGTATTCATGGCTTAATGCTATTGGAAGAGTATCGTTGAAACGTTTAGACGAAGAGTAAAGTGTCATTCCCGGAAAAATAACAGACGACAAACCAGACGAAATATTAATCACTACACCCTTGTTTCGGGAAACCATGCCTGGTAAAACGACTTCGGTTACTTTTGACATTGATGTGACATTGCAGTTAACAATATTATCGCTGAAAGTTTCTCCATAACGCCATAAGTTATTTAGAAATGGTTCGGGAATCTTGGCGGCCATTCCAACATTATTCACCAGTACACCAATTTCAAGTCCTTGAAGTTCCTTTTCTAAAACATCGTAAACGGACACACAATCCCCGTCAGACTTTATATCACATTTCGTGAAATCTAGTGCGATGCATTTTGTTTCTACTCCATATTTTGAATGAAATTCATTCGCAACAGTTTCTAGCTTCTTCGGATTCCTGCTCACGAGTACAATGTCATGTCCCCTGATCGCTAATTCCTGGGCAATGCCTTTTCCGATACCGTCTGTTGCTCCTGTTATAACAGCCCATTTTCCAAGGCTTCTATGGTCAATGGAGGAATTGGTAAAATAGACATTGTAGTACATGTACAAGTTAAACAAAAATTCTAGTAACAACCAAATGATTGTCAGCCTACCAATCACCAGTAAAACACTACTATTCTCCACTAATTCAGTCAACATTGTTAAGGTTGTATTGGATACATTGATTACTACATGCCTGCAACAATATGGTATCATATCAAGCATGTAAGTTAATCATTTACAATAATATTATCAAGGCAACCGATCACGGCAATATGATTTAGGAACAAGAAAGAGTGGCGATGTAATATGAATTATATCGTTATTCTATCGCGTATTTTCAAACGGATTGAAGTCATCGCATATTATGCCCCAAGATCTATTTGTTTAGTATATAGAACTCAATTGTCATATAAATTCATATTTGTATACATATATTTCATGCAGAAAAAGTATCTGTTTACATAATTTTGTACAATGGTACAACCACAGAGTGATAATAATATGCTAAATTGGATATATTTATGCTTTGCTTATTAACTCAAACAAAATTTCTAAAATGTAGGGATTTCAAAAACGGGGAACGTTTGTACTTCTATTGCAATCATTGATCAGGAGCATCCGCACTTGTTTGCTGTATCTTCTATTGCAGAAAGATAATCTCCAAACGCAGCTTTCCATAGGCTCATATTTTCTTGGTACTCTCTGAATAAATGCTAACGTTGAGTTGTTGAAAATATCATTAGGTTGCATTGACATTTTATATTGGTTGTACAGAAAATAAATCTTGACAGCCTAATTAGCGATATACCGATATTCTCGTTGTTCTGGCGGGATTTCATTTTTTTAACACAAATGACCTCAACTAGAGCAGGAGACTTTTTTACACGAACCCATATTATTTATTTTTATTTTCTTCGTTTTGTGTGGACCATTTCTGGCCTAGTCTAAACACCCACAGTACGATAATGTTGTGATTTACCGTTTCCCCACGAAGTTAGCATAACCGTCTATGTACTATCTATACAGTTTATTTCTTCACTTAGCATCGTATTTTGTATAATTTTTTGTTTATACAACTGTCAATGTCTTAAAATTAAGTTATAAATTAGTCACAATACGACACTACTCAAGTGACGTTAATGCAAACGGCGCGCCAGCCTATGTCAACTAACGGCAAATCATTCGGGCAATTTGTTGCTATTCTAAGATTTTGTATAGTCACATTTTCATAATATAAGCTAGTCGAGACATCATTTCATTACGAAAATCGCATTTTTTTGCGTCTGAATGCAAAACCAGCCAAATGTGTCGCACATTTTTTCCATCCGGCACCCCCGGTAAATACCTAACAACATTCGAGACGTCACTATGATGGATTAAACTTCAATACGGAAAAATGATTATGGGTTTAAACTGATCCCAGAAGGAAGGGCTAAAAATGATGAAATCACACGGCAAGCAAAACATCGGCCATCTTTCATATATTTTTTTATGCTCATCACGGGTCTGTGCTTCTTTAAACTATTTCGGAACCTCAATCTCAGAACCGCGGAACTGGAGCACCAACTAGGATTTGAGTTTCATGACTTTCCTGACGTATTCAATAGGCTTTTTAAATGTGTCGAATAAATAATACAAGGAAATTGTTTTTGTGGGAATATTGTTTCCCAATAGCGATAAAGATAAGGTGCTCCCGAAGTATTCGTACCAAGATGGCGCACAGCCCGAATATAGTATGTGTATCAGGTTAGGGTTGTTCAGGTTGTGCATCATCTTGGTACAAACATTTCCGAAACGCCAAAATAAAATAATTTTACCTGAACGCTTCGACATATGCTCCATCGGTTATACAGTTATCAGGTAAGGGCGATGCAGTTGTACCTAAAATAAAAATGAGACTGTATGCATTTGGCTTATAATGTTGACAATTTTGTATTCCTTTTGATACCAATTCTGTGTTTAAGGTTGAATATTTTGAATGTAAATAAACTATATATACCAGGGGTAGTAGCAGTAGTGGAGCTGTCTTCTGTAGATACACCGGTGGTTTGGTTAGTTGGAGATGTTGTTGAGATTTCTATGAAAAAAAGATTAAAACACTTGAAGCACTCGCCAGAATTCGTAATGTTACGATAACATAGACAAGAAACCTTATAAGCTTAACCTTAAAAGATTAGTCTCAAGTCTGGGACCTCAAAATAAGGTGTGTATATACATTCATAATCTTATGTTATTATTCCTCCGGCCTTCGTACCCGGGGATTGCTAGTTGGATCAGGTATAAAATAAAGACACGTAAGTAATCATATATTGAATGATAATCTTCAAATTATAAAAGTTGTCGGAAATACATTTTGAATCAAGTCGTATGAGGACTTGATTTTCTATTTGAAGGTAAAGTAATCGTTTTGTAGAGAGTGCTTTTTGTAGTGAACAACTTCAACTCTTTCCAAGTTGGATTCTAGATTTACCATGGCTCATTGAACTAATTTTTTGAGGTTATCAAATGCAAGGACTTTTTATGAGGCTGGGGCTCTGGATGTAAGTTTAAAATAATTTTTATTCAGATCGAATTTTGTATGAGAATATTTTGACTCTAATATATTGAGGGGGACAATTGCCAATTTGCATCATTCCTAATATGGTGAAATCATGTCGGTAGTACGAGGGAGCTCTTATCTTAATTTGTTGAAACTTTCAAGCAGCCAAACTTCCCTAAAATAGAAAATATGGTCCGTAAAGTATAAATCCCATTAAACTCACAACATAGAATAAGTGTCTCTTGTATTGGTCGATATGCTATCATATCGCGCCTGATGCTATGTGGTTAACTGTTTATCTGATTGCATTTTAATCGAACCTCATATACATTATTGTAAATCCAAATCAGGATTGGATATATTTTGTAGGAAACTAACGTTGAATTGTGAATCGATTGAGTGGCCATTAATTTACAAATTGTAAAATATAAGATTGCTCATTTTTCTCTGTATATCAATGGTTTTTAACTGGAATTGTTTTATGATAACATTGATTCGAATTCAGAATTTGGCTTCATAACTCGATTTCGCATTGTGCAATATTGTTGATAGTATACCCGTGAGTAAAATGAAAAACATGAATTCCAGTTGTTAGGGGAGAAGCTAGATAAAAATCTCGTAACATTTATCATACCAGAAGATGTGGCTTCCGGATTAGCAGTCACGGTCGTTGTGGATGAAGCTGTGAAACCTGTAGCTACTGATGTTTCTTCCGATGCGTTTGCCTCTCCTTCGTGTGAAGAAGAACAGTAAGATTCGGTAAATTCAATATGGGCTATTACTTCATGATTAGTGTTTATAAAATGTACGTGGGTATCGTAAGTAAAAGATTCCGGGTCAAAAACCCATCCCCGGCCCAGAAAATAGTACAGGCTGAATTCCGAAGCCTTGTTCGAAGCAAAGGTTTGAAGCAACCTTCATCTCAAATTGAATGGACATTTCCGAACCCATTATAGTCCTGCTAGTTCTGAAGTAATAGTAGCTTCTAACCTATAAATGACTGTTTGTCTACAAATTAATGTACAATGTATATAAATGCCAAGTCTTGCTGCCATTAGTGTTCCAGTGCGTAATTTTTGAACCAAATTTTGCGAGCATTTAAAATTCGGCTGGAATTTTGCTGACATCGCGGTAGTCATCTGACCATCGTTTATATATATATATATATGCGAATTGCTCTTTTATTATTTATAGTTATATTTATTACTTTAGTTATATTACAACGATTCTTTGACATGACGTATTTCATCGTTTTTTTTAAGAGTATCATAATTAAATATTTTGGATCATTGCTCAAAAAATCTTGCAATAACGTCTACCGGTTACGTATGGAATAATATGCCTTTTGGCTTGTTATTTTCTTCTATGATTTTGCCAAAAGAATAATTTTATTGAATGCATTTTTTAGAATTAATTTTTTCCCGTGAAATTTTTCATATTTTTGCTTCGGCATGAAATACACATTGACCTGAAAATGCTAAAAAAGCATGACAGCGCACCTGTTGTGGCTGGCGTTGAAGTGTCTTCTTGGGTTACAGAGATTGTTGTTGTTTTTTCCTGCGTGACAGTGGGCGTTACCACTTCGCAAAAGTAAAAATAAGTAAATAAGACAAAAATGTAATATATATTATGAAACAGCGGCAAAGATGTGTCGTCTGTTGACCAAGCTAAATCAACTATAATGCAAAAATAACTTATTCTATTGTATTTTGTATAACCATTAGAGTAAAATTTAGATATATTGTATTGGTGCAACAAATCATACGTTATCAATATCTTGGCATGTCGTTAGATTTGTTCATATAGTTAACGGAAGCAAGATTTAGCAAATTTAGTAGGTTTTCATCTAATTTAAAAATGGAATTTAAAGTTATCAAGAAAAATAGTGTGATGTTCGCTGCCCAGCTAAATTTCCCAATATCAAAACTATAATGAAATAAAATAAAAAATAAAACAGTAGAATACTGTTAAGTTTAATTGATGAATTTAAGAAACATGTTTGTGCACATACTTCTCGGAGAACAAATTTTATTAGAAAGTTTCTTTGCTTTCGGCTTGCCAATTACGGCGTTATTTTGTGAAGTTAAACGCAGCTATAATACCATGCATTGCATGAATCTCGACAACGAATTTGGGTTCCTTTTAAACAGATTTATTGTCATAATATTTATATTGTACGTGGTATGTTTCTGTAACGAAAAAAACCTACTCGTTGTGTCGGTGAAATTTCGCGAGCAAAGTCCATCTTCGCATCTCATCCATTCGCTTGAGCAGGCCGTACATTCATCTCCGGACAGGTACGGCGGAACTGGTACGCCATACAAATAGCTGTAAAAAGAATATAATTTAATCCGACATAAATGTATAAAATAAATGATATCAAATATCTTCATTTTATAATTATTTATAATCATTGATAAAGAAATATCACTAGACTTAACCAAAACAAAATGAAAGACAGCCGCACAAAAGATTATAGTTTAAATATTATAGAGCTATAAATTCTCCGTAGGTTTACCTGATTTATTTGAAGCCACCTATCCCTGGAATATTATAACATCTAATATATCAACGAAATTCCCATTTTTACAACTTGTGGACAAAGTGCAAGCGGAATGAAAATTACAAATGAAACAGTTATAGTTAGTTTTAACCCTTTCTTTATATGATAGATACTAACACAATTGCGTTACTATAAAGTTTCCTCAAACGAGATATATAAACTATCAAATTAAATTTTTACTCAATACACGATGTTTATCACGCTTACACTAATTAAATCAGAAATGGTTTTTCTTACTGATTTCCAGGAGGAAAGTAACGGCAGCTGACTAAATATCCGCTTGCAAAGTTAGTATATTTGACGGAACTGAAAAGAGAAAATTACGATAATTAAGCAACCGGTTTAAACATGTGTTAATTAATAGTATTTCTGGGAGATCAAAAGCAAGATTTTAAAATATCATCAGTGTTACGAGGTTGCAACTTTTATTTACTTTTTTGCCAAAAAGTTGCAGGTAATAAGTAGACACAAAATGAGCAAAACAAATAAATTCGTTGCTGTAAAATAAACTACTATACTTGCACATTGCAACAGCACATCCCACTTTGTATGTATTAGCCCATACAATCTGCGTGTAGTGTGTGCACACGCCGTCACAACTTCCATCAGTGTAGTTATAAAGATCAACCTGCAGATGGAAAAAGCTTAGGAAGTTTAAAGAGTTGACATAGATGTTCGCAATATTGTACAGATGCAGGCGAAATTAGTCCTATTTAGTACGAAAACCACCCAATACAAATACGGTTTTCGAAATTTTCCTGGTCTTGTACGAACACCGCGTTATTGTTTGATCAAGACAAGGCTCACTTACTCAGACGCAAATTAGCTAATCCCGTAACGAAAAAATGACAATATTAGGTTGTAGAGGTAAACATCGCATCAGTGCATAACGATAAAACCAAGCTTTTTTATCAACATCTTTCGCCATCAAATGTGTTCGAGAATATTAACATCGGATGAAACAATACCCTTGAAACTCTTGTTTTGTTTCTAATGGGATTGAAAACACACATTTAAGCGCAACAATTGACCCTCTGTACAATAAAAGTTTGAAAGTGATACTACGGTTTATATCAACTTTCAAAACATGAAGATTAATTGCGACTTTAGAAGTATTCGCAAGAATGTCGTGATAAGTTAAATGTATTCACTATACCTCATCATACCACAGTTTAAATGCATCTGCAATCAGACCTCCCACAGCTAAATTTTCACCGGCTCCGTTTAGATCAGCATCATGTTTGAATTCACACCGACTGGGAATTAAATTAGGGAATAATTAGGAAACTTTCTCTTTAAAATTCATTTCTTTGTTTATCTACTCAATTTTATAGCGATTCATTTATTAAATGCGTATACGCTTTAATTAAGCAATATCTCACTGTTTTTCAAAAATAATGAACATGAAATCCTGATATTATATATATAGTCGCGCAGGAACAAAAATTTCTCACTTATTTGAAATTGACTTTCAAATTATTATATAATACAGTGTTTTAAATTTTTCCAATCGGATGACAGAATAACTCAACTAATTTGACTATTTTTTAAAATATAATTATCTTGCCGGTGACGCTGTACATATTTTCTTCTAAAATTACAGGGTGCAACCCTAATTATACATTATTGTAAATCAAAATCAGGTTTGAATCCATTTATTCATGTCATCTCTGAAATTATGTTCCAAATCACCTCTTTGGCATACAGATGACTTGTATCCGTTACGCAAAATTGCACAGCTGGTTCATATTGCTCCAAAGACGGAAATGAAGCAGTGAATATGGGACATAATGTGATAATGCTGAGAAAGTGCTGAGAATCATCTGGGTATCTGGGCGAGGTAGTGTTGACTAGTGGTTCCAGCATGATATGGCGACCCTCCGCATATCAAATCACGCCCTTGACTGACTGAAAAAGCGATTTCAGAAAAGGTTGATCAGCAGGAAGTGTGACATCGAGTGGGCACTTCATTCATTGGAATTGAACTGATCATATTTTATTTGTGGGGTTCTTCGAAAAACATTCCTTAAACAATTGGTCAATTCAAAACTGCCTTTGCAACAAAAATCTCTATAGTTGAGTGTGTGTGACAGATTTGACAATTTTGCGCAACGCGTGCAAGTCTTCTCCTATGGCCTATGCTTTGGAGGTGATTTGGAACATATTCTAGTTTTGTGCAAAGCGTCCTAGATTCCTGAAACTTTCGGATACAATCATTTTGTAGAAGTTATTAACAAATTTATGGTTTCCGTTTTTTGAGGTGTATATTTGCGACGTTTATTTTCTTTATTATGATCGAAATGAAATTGGGTATAAATTCACGCGCAAGTTGTGCGCCAGTTTTACTTACTCGACAAATTCTTCTGCCTGCTGCTGAAGAGTTGAATCCCACTCCATTAATTTCATATTGGACGCGTTAGGTATTTTTCTTTTCTCATTATGAATATCTACTGCATTTTCTATATCTTCATTAGTCAGAGGTAAAAGGTACAAAGCAGTCTCCCCGACTAAGAAAATATGATAGATAGCAATTTATAATTTTTTTAATTTCAATTAGCAAGTACACTTTTCCAAATTGAATGTCCATGAATGATACCAATGTTAAGTTCTTATCACAAGTAAATAATAATATAAGTGTTTCCACAGTTTTAGCATAATTTTAGAAATAAAGATAAGTTTTGTTCAATTAGGAAAGCTAATATTGAGCCTGACTCATTTTCAGAACATGTGTACAACCACGGCAGAACACCCACGGTAGTTTTTAAAATATGAATTTTAAAATACTTTTCCATGAGTCAACATCGTAAACCTAGTAGGGAAGAAGATAACAGGAAAATGTTATCAATAACTAAATTGATGACAAGTTTATAGCAAACAAATGATTCATTTTTGGATATTCCCGTAGTATGTGAACCAGGTTTTGGTTAGCCATATTATCTTTTTTCCGGTTTTCTTTATTTTAGTTCTAGTACGAGTTCGGGGACTGTCTTTGTTATCCGAGTGAAAATACCGTTTCAGTCCCTTTACACAACTTGATGTAAAATAGGCGAACAAAATTAATTACCTCCATATTGGTACACATACTTATGGGGCGCCCATTTTTGTGCCAGGGGACCGTGGGGACCGTGAAAAGTGCCTCTTTTTAACACTTCAGGCTGCTGTGTTCCTGTCTTCGCAACCACTTTTAATTGTTTCACAAGTATTTAACATATTATATTTCTTAATAAATTTGTAAAATGTTTACTCACCACTATCTTTCCAGAATAAACAGCTTAGCAAAATAATAAAAAAGAATTTCAGCATCTTGGTCGACTTGGGTTTTCGAATATAAATTATTAATGATTAATTTCCTGCTCCGGCAGAACTTAACAAAAATAAATGCCACATTACAATGATATTTCAAATAACAACGAATTACGATTTCACTGCAATTTGTTCTCGGGATATATTCATAACCCTATGATATTAAATTGTACGAGTCCTTATGGGCGCCTCGTCGATATAAGCCCCAGAACATGCGTCACGTCTGTTCGCATAATTCCTTCCTAAATCTTCCCTTTCAATTCTGGAACATTTCAAAAAAAATCATGGCAGTCAGATCTCATGGTCTAAGACTTTGATGCACATCTTCCACATCTGTTTTCAATTTATATAAAAATTATAAATGACAAATGCTCCGTGTAGACGTTTCCTCTTATAGCACGCCGTGTGAACAACACCCCACTTAAAAACCACTGACATGCGATACACACGTTATGTGACACCTGATTATTTTGGAAATATTGTAAAGTCATGAACATTTGTCAGAAATATCTTTAAATGAAACCTGTAAATTTGAGCAAGCAATTATACTATACAATATACTGATACACTAAACACATATATATACATTTATTTAAGGTACAAACGAATACTGTGAAATCGCCTAAATATCATAAAATTTTGTAACAGTACATCCTGCGCCAACGTGTTTTTACACTATCAAACCGTACGTGCAATGCAGCGCACTTGAAACCCCACACCGTGAACATGGGTAAATATCGCCTTTCTTATTTTGGACGAAATGAGTATGACGTCAAGTGTCTGTATATATACTTGGTTTCACTTTTAAATAAGTCATTCATCATTATTTCTTATTCAGGAAATATAGCCAATTAGTCCCATTTCCAGGAAGACATAATATTTTTTCTCAGATTCAGGATATGGTCACGTATGGCTCAGCTTGAAACATACAAATAAATAAATTGTTTCAATCTGGCTAATACTGCCAGCGTAGACTCATAGAAACGAAAATAGCACCTTGTTCTAAAAAAATAATGATTGATCGATTGCAAATTGCGATTCGGAACATCAGTTACTGTCATGGTAAATAATTAGCAGACTTTTTAGAGTGCTAATAATCTAAATCTAAACCTTTAAAATTCTTTGGAGGCAAATCGAAGTATTATATAGTTAGATGGATTCTGTATATATATATATATTACAAAACATAAGATGAGGTAATCCGGTATATATCGGAATACAGACAAAGTTTTAAAAATTGTTATTGAAGCATACAACAGACTTCAAAATCAATAAAAACCATTTGACAATTTTAATATTCCAAATATTTCATCTTTCCTATTAGTCTAAGTCAGTGGTTCCCAAACTTTTTTTTCGCGACCCCATTTTTCATAAAATTGAAGACTACAGATATTCGCGACCCAACAACCAGAAACGTTCAGCTACTTTAAAAATCAGTATTTTCAATTTAATGCGCTCAATGTGTCTGTATATCGACTGCAAGTGGACGTGGACGGAGCCCAAAAATCTTACATTATTAGGTGCCTTTTATTATGCTAGAATATATTGTTGTTTTGTGTTTAACTGTTTGGAACGCTTCAAAGTTTTGTATAAAACGTCAAAATACGATAATATTGCAGTACGAAAATGTTCACTTTCACGCGGAGGCGATGTGGACAAAACACCTAAGCTAAACTCGGCCAAGACACCGCCTGGCAATCAAAACCACACTTGTCTAACAAACAATCTAATTGAGGGTTAATCGGCAAATAAAGCAATGTATATTGCGTTTGTGACGGATGTTTTCCCGAGAATCGATTTCCTAGTTTATTTCTGTAAAAATTACAAATCAGCAATGAGGTAACTATGATGTAACAATTGCGATCCATGCCTTTGCTCAGACAGATATTCAAGCGTGGTTGTAAACATTGCCTTTTTTGTAGTTTTGCGTGTTATTTGTCAGTTTTAATTGTGTTTCCAAAAAATAACATAATTGTCATTATGTCCTACGAGGACCTTTAGTCTAGTTGCAATAATCAAAAATTGATACCGCAAACGCTGTGATAGACTAGCCTAAAATTAGCTATCAGTACTTGTAAACGGCACGTAGTTTGATGTTTTGAATAAAAATTATAGTTTTGAACATGTGAGCCAATTCAACAAGCGCCAATTTTCCAAAACACTCTGTGTGGAAACTATCAGTGACAAAGGGTCGACGGAACGTCAATTACTCGCAGTTGTAAGTAAAATTGCTGCTACGTACATTCAAAACGTGATGGTGAAACTATTTTTTGTTATGAGATCTGAAATCTTTCGAGCGGATGTATTTAACCCATTAGAAATTTTAGCAGCACGACTTGATTCGTGCGAAGTGTAATGTCCACAAAACAAACTAATTGTATTGTGACAACATGAATCGTCCCAAATTTGAATAGGGCAAAATTAATCATTAAACTCCCCTTAAAATCTTCGAGTTGGTTCACAGGCAAGTGCATATTAAATCTACAAGGAAAATACGCCTCGCTTGAAAATGAAAGTTATGAACATAAATTAATAAATGCAAAACATATTTTGAAATTCTCTTTCAGAATATTAATGACAAAAATGCGTCATGCTTGAGCGCGAATAAGATTCATATTATGACACATTCGCGAAGGTTCAAATTTCAGCGGCATAGTTGTATTTATCAGGCTTTACCGAACCTCAATATCTCTTTCTAAAAGGCTAAAAACATACACGCATATATTTATTGAAGTTACTACTACAGTGTACGGGATTCATATTCGAAGACTCTAAATTTTTTCTGTTTACTGGGCTCGGCTTCAATAATAGATTCATTCGGAAACTAATTTTTAAGTGGGTCCGAGAACGGTGACGAAAATTTGTTAGCAACGTTTATTTTGGTTCCTGTTTGAAGTTACTTATGAATCTTGGGCCCCAACGTGCGGGAATCTTGAGGTTCTTTTTGGACACGTTTAGTGGACATAACGATCGTTTCAATATTATTGGACACGTTTAGTGGACATAACGATCGTTTCAATATTATTGGACACGTTTAGTGGACATAACGATCGTTTCAAAATTTTGTTGTTATTGTTATTTGTATCCATCATTTTAAAAAAATCGCTTTTCTCTTCGAATACTGGACCAATTGCTTTGAAATTTTCAGTGGTTAAAGATAAAATTTTTCTCCAGAAGGCTATCACTTTTTTTCTCGCTATGACGTCATAGAATTATTGCCATTGGGTGGCGCTACGTGTCCATATATTTGAGCATAGCTTTCTTGTTTGAAATGGAAATGCTTTTGTTTTTTCTTTGCTACACGAAACAAATTTCGATAAACTTTATACTTCAGAACATTTCCGGTCGTGAATTATTCAGATAAATCATTTCTGTTTTTGTACATCACACACCGAACGTCAAATATGATTAGTTATACAAGATTATTACTGCAATAATGCAAAAACAACGTTTAGCACGGAGATAAATAAGATAAAATATTTGGAATTCCGTAAAGGTAAAAGGACAATACGTAAGACAAACATACAGAAATTCAGTTACGTAACTTCAAGTCAGGTGAAACACAAAACATAAAGGCACTGCGTGGGCCATGTCACACACACACGACGAAATACCGTTTTTATTGTCTAATTAGACTTGAACTATATATATTTTAGACAAGGATTGGTTTGCTTGAAGCAAATTCTGCAATTGATGTCATTGTGGGCGCAAATTAGGTGTTAAAAAGGCACAACCGAATCATAGTAATTTCGCACACCCGTGTAAATTCCCGCCGATGAAGTCACCTTAATGAAGCACTAGTTAAAATAATTCATTGCAGAAGAAAATCGGAAACCACATAATTTTTTATTTTTTGCTACTTTATTCAAATACAACTAGTTTGCACAATTAGAGGATTGGAATATCAAAAAAAAAATATAGTATAATGTATAACAGAATATATTGAAATATCAGACTGGGTTCGGTCTCCATTTCTGCTTACCATGACGGAGTGAAATAGAAAAGGGTCATGCTCGTGATATAGCTCTCTATCAACTGTTCATTTATACGCTAAAACTCAATGCATGAACAACGAGAAAAAATACAAAATTGTGACGATATCCAGAACACCAAGTGTTGTGTAATTTACGAGGAAATGAGTCATCCTATATTTAGCCCACACGCACAGTGCGTGCAGAAATGTTAACGCTGTGGTATCAGAAAATATGAGTAATATATAATCTTAGGACAAAGCTCATGAAAGAACAAACCCTGTCCCCATGAATGAATATCAAAACAACTTTGCTCAAAGATGTAATTTCATTGTCATCTATGACTTGTGGAACAAAAGTAGAAATATCCATATTTTTCTGGCAAAATATTTATTGCAGGAACAGTTGAAACCGGTTAGGTTGAACTAATTCGCTCATTAACTCGACAGAATTGACTTGAAATCTATGGTTTTCTCTGATACGCATTTTATAAAACATTTCCACTTTGCTTTAGGAACATATATGACTCATACATATATGTGTGTTGTATGTTTAATTTAAAAATGTACTGAGAAATTGCCAGTTTTGTTTATATTATATGGTATAGGTAAGGCAACATGTAGCAAATCATTCACAATGATGAAGAATTCAAATTTGAAGGTTATATAAAAAGGATTGATGCTAATAGGACCAATGTAATAAAAATTAGAAATCTGGGCAAAAGGTCCTCAAACAATGGTGGATGTGTGATGGTTGCCAATGTGGGCGGGGGGTTGGGGGGGTAGGAAAATATTTTTCCAATGTTAATTGGGTAGACCAACTGACCAAGTCTTGCTCGAATAATCCAAATTGTACAAGACTGGAAAAAAATGGACTGGAATATTTGGTGTATAGCATAGGAAATAAAAATATGGATTAAGACCCAAGATAAAAATTTAAAGGATATATCATTACATTAAAATCGTTAACGACGAAAACAATTAACCAGAAAATAATATTCTCATAAAAAATCCATGCAGTTTTTTTATGGTTTACAGGCAATATGACACTCTTGTCAGACATAAGAATACCTAAATATAAGGAATAATATAAAGATTAGGAACAGTGGTGTTACTGCTGTAAGAAAGATATGCCAGCAATGCCGTAACTTATAAATTTTAGACCTAATAAATATAATGTTTCCTTCACATCAGTGGCTATGCGAGCTTAAATGAAAATATTGCCCAAGACACATATGCCTTGTTTCATTTACCAGACATGTAATATTAAATATTTTTTAACATATGATTAAATGAAACATCTACAATATTAAAGCTGTATCTGTGCCAAAAACTAAATTTTTTACATGGGAGGAAATAGGAAAATATCTACTGCAGTTAGAATCAACTAAGGCAAAAATAATATTGTACATGATTGTGAAGTGCGACTTTGAAATAATAACTGAGAACGTATAATAATTGGATTACAGAAGTAAAGCACAATGTGTGAAAGAGTCTTGACTGTGAGAGAATCCTGAAAAACAGTCACTAATTTTGATATGGGTAATAATAACCACTTAAAGGTAAACGTTGTTTTATCAAAAAAAAATAAAATGAAGCAGGAACTATCGGTAAGTGCAGGAGTGAAAGTAGAAATACATGGTAAATATTAATGAATAATAAGTTTTAAAAGAAGTAGGAGAGTCCAAGTTAAATTTGAGATATACTCGAATCAATGCGAGGATATAATCTACTAGGAAAGAAAAAAATTTGCGACCAGCTGGTTGGTTCCCATTGCCAATGATTAACATGAAAGTCTCTTGGCTTAAAAAATAAAAATATGGGATTTTCCAATCATTTCATATTTCTCTACCCCCATTGTTTTAGTCAGCTGTCATAGGGTTTTCCACAAGAGATGAATATTTTTTCTTCTTACGACACCATGTATAAGATAATACGCAAACTGGTGCCATGCACAAGATCAGTAATCCAAGGATGACATACATAGCAATTTGCATTGTTGACGGTGATTTATTACTTTCATAGACACACGATGTAGAGTTTATATACCCACTATCATATACCAATTTAGAGGTTGACGAGCAGTTTGACAAAGCGAATCCAACTCGGCGATTTGCTCTGTCGAATACAACATTGTATTCCTCCATCACGACAGCGCCCAAAACTGTTCCAGAAGAAGATAGACTTATACCATATTTATAACAAGCTTTTTCCATGTCTGTATCATTGCCATAAAAAAGAACATAGTGCTCAGGATGCACTGATAATGTTATTGTATGATTAATTTCTATAGAGGGTAGATATATGGTGATCACAGGGAATAAACTATAGGGATCTACAGAATCATCCCAGCAGAGAAGTGAACCACCAGTCCAGAAGCTATCGTGAACAACGAGGTCTGGTAACAGAGTTGCTAAATGCTTTTTCATTATTTCTGTCACCATAGAAAATATTTTTTGAGGAAGATGAAGATTTGTGGTTCCGCTGTCAACAATTGCTTTATCATTGTTGAATTCTGTACAGGACACTGATACTGTGGTGTTGCCAACCTTCATGCCGATCACCAGTACATCATAATACCATTCTCGTACAATTCTGGTCCAATAGATAGTACCAACTGACCGATCATAATCTCCTAAAATAAAAGTTCCTGAAACGGAGTCACTAAATTTCCTTACATCTGCCATGCAAAGTTGTAGACTGAAGATATCATCGATTCCTATTTCATCAACAACACTTCTCATAAATGCTTTTGTATTTGAATGGCTAGGCCTAATCAACTCATCATAGCCCAAGCCTAGAATTCCTTGCCATCCAGATTCAGCTATGAAAAACTTCTCAGACTCTGTTATTTCAGCCATGCTAACTCTAGCTGACTTCTCCATTCCAGCAGTAGGAACAGATACCAAATCAGTCACAAGATGACCTTTCCAAAACCCTTCGGTGTATTCTATATCAATATCTTGAAGATTCATATCTCTGATTGATGTTGAGTTCTTTGCTTCAAAGTACTTTGAAATCAGTGGATTCGATTTGCTTGCAACTGCAAAATTACTGCTTCCTGTGTCAAGAAGTATATTCAGTGCTTGCGGTGGTGTACCAATAAGCATTTCAACATAGTAACCTTTTTCAATGAAGCCATTCAAGTTATTTGTTTGCCAAAGTTCATTTCCAGACCTTCTATTTCTCACATTCCATACTGGACCAGAGGATCTTGATATGATGCAGGAAAACATCCCAAAATAAACAAGGAAATGCAGTAAAGTAATCATGGTGCCAAGAATTTTATACCAAAAATGCTTTCAAAGTGAACATGTTGGTTCTCTTACGCCAGGCAGGCAAGGTATGGCATGTTTTGCTAAACTGTAACAACAAAAATAAAATGACTAGATTTAAATTACTGTAGGCTAATATCAGAATTTTGGAATTTACCAACGATCTGGCAATAGAATAGGTTTATTTCGTCTCCATAATCAGCATGATAGATATAAAGTAATTAGTAAAAACAAAACTGATCGGGAGAGCAAACAAAACCTCAACTAAAGTTTGAAACGTACAGATTTGAAATGTATAGCCTAAGTGTACCGGTACATGTTCGCTCACCCAAAAAGTATTAAAACTGATTACTGAATTTAGGGGCATGCACGTACACACACCACACACAATCACACTAAAGAAAAAAAAGCGAGGCATAAAATCAATTTCTCAGTAAAAAAGAAAAATATGCAAACCCATTAATTGAATAAATTTTTGCCACTCCATATTAATTACTGGTACGGTACAGGTAGTAAAGTAGGCTACCGGAACCGGGGCGTAACATTGTAATTACCGTACAGCATTAAGTAACTACTGGTAATTTTCAACTGCATAATTAGGTCTACCGTAACAGATAACTGAGACATAATCCTGTACTCAGTACAGTGTGCTGTAATCAAGAAGAATTGGATCTGATTGAGCTCAGAAAACCATACCGGTAAGATAAAACTGTATTTTATTCGTATTGCCTGTATCTGGATCGTGTTACCGTATGTCCTGACAAGGCAAGGAGACGAATGTTCGAAGTATATTACACAATATATACAAAAGAAACGGCGAACAGTACGGTAAAAGATCAAAATAACAAACAGCCAGCTAGCTTAACAAAAAACACTAGAATGAGTAATAGACAGGGAAATCCCCTTACGTCACAATATGCTATTTTCATACTATGCGCATGAATATCTAGTAACTACCAACTCCCCTATGGACCTTACCCCGAGCATCGACTTCCTTGTTTACTTCGCGACATTGGCTAATCAGCAAGATGCAAAAAGTGACGTAACAATGCTCCCTTTTCGCATCCGCTCAGACACTTTTCTCACTCAGACAGATTTTCAAGCGTGATCGTAAACATTAGGCTACTTCGTTTTGGCGTTTTTGAACTCTATTCGTTGTGTCCAAATACAATTTGTACTGGCGAACTCGAAGGGCGTCTACCGAATATGTTGTGCCATTCTAAAAGTCCTCGCTGAAACTCTATATTTCCATTAGATTTCGATTTAGCTACGAGTGACGTCATTGCTCCAACAGCAGCCTCGACGGCTCCATGAGATTGTGAATATGTCGGCGCTGACATGATTGACGCCTCGCCCATAAACTTTTTTTTGAATTAATCTGGGGAAAATAGCGGACAAGCATCTGTTTTCATTCGGATTGATTCACCCTCGGGACACTACAATTCTGACATTATATCAAGCCGTCGCCCACAATCAAATCATTTCGTATTTTCCAAAAGAGTTTTGCAAAAAATGGTGCTTGTTCAGATTTTGGCGGGAATCCTTCGATGACCACTCTGATCAAATTTTGGTACTGCTGATCCTTTACAACCACTTTGCGCAGACACAATTATTACCCTTATCTACGCCATCAAGTAAACGAATTTGCCAGAATTTCTTAACACGGGTTTGCACAGCTTCCTCAGCCTCTAGGTCAGGGGTCGCCAACGTACGGCCCGCGGGCCAGTTCCGGCTCACCCAGTAAAAAATTAGGCCCGCGTCGCTTCACTGAATTCTAGTGACAAAACGTCTGTTTTCGCGATTATATTTTTACGCAACAGAATTTATCGTGAGACACGTGTATACTAAATAATACAATAACCCTATATATATATATATATAATATATATAGTATAACCCAACAATTTAGTGAAAAGCTACTAATCAATTATAATTAGACAAATGGCAACATAACGCAGAAAAGTTGATGCCGAGTGCAGCGGGTTCAGTGGCACAGAAAATATTTAATGCAATGAAAATATAAAATATATACATATTCTATTCGACAGAAGTATCAGTGCTTGATTTTCATGAACATTATCTTCTTGAAGGGAAACTCTATCCAGATTTAACAAACCATCCGGAAAAATTCTCATCGATGTTTGCAGGTACATATGTGTGCGAACAATTATTTTCGAAAATGAATATTACAAAGAACAAGCTGAGAACTCGGATTATTGATGCCCATTTGGAATTTTTTTTAATCTTGGCTCAATCCAGCATGTCGCCTGATGTTGAAACGCTAAAAAAAGTGTCGTTGTCATTTGTAATTTTTTTTCTTTTAGTAAGACGAACAAGTTGAGTTCACGAGTTGTCAAATTCTTTCTTAATTTCAACTACTGATCCTTGTGAAAAAAATTGTGATTCGTCGGCCATCTGTACGGTTTTTAACTTTCTAAAAATAGGTGGCAAGACTTGCAACCCTTGATTTTGGCCCGCGAGCGACAAAAGGTTGCCGATTCCTGCTCTAGGTCATCTGTCGTCGGATCATCAACTGGGGCACGCGAAAGTGCATCCGGAACCGCATGAAGTTCCCCATTGCGCCAAAATGTAGAGAACATATATATGGGGAGTTTTTCCTTGAGACGCTGGAGACGAGGATTTTCGACCATGTCCAACGTCTGGCGACCAAGAAATGGGACTAGGGGTTGGTGGTCTACTATCAATGTGAAATGAGGTAATCCGAGCATTAAAATTCGACATTTGCGAACGGCCCATACAACGGCTGATAATTCAAATTTAACCATTGCATACCGTGTTTCGACGTCGCTTAAAAATCTTGAACCGCGTTGTACAAGTCGCCATTTTTCTCCATGTTGTTGAAGTAAAGCATAGCCCCTTTCTGCGCGATGCATCAGTTTGTAGGACGGTCAGGATCAAAATTCGACAGTAGTGGTGTTGATGTTAAAGTCTTCTTAACGTTTTCAAATGCCTGATCATGGTTAACAGTCCAATTAAAACTGTTGCGTGTTTGTAACAGACTACGTAGTGGGGATGCAAAGGTGCTAATTTCCGTTGGGAAATCACCTAATTGGTTTACCAGACCCATAAAACCACTCAATTCAGTGATATTAGTGGGAGTCGGAAATTTTGAAATTGCATTTGAACTTTCTTGGGGTTAGCTGAAATACTATCTCTTGAAATGATACAACCCACAAATTTTACCATGCCTGCTGCGAATACAAATTTTTCAGGGTTCAAAGTGATGTTGCTATGGCGACATTTATATAAAAAATCCCAATAGCCCGGACATGTTCTGGGAAAGTTTTGGAATACATGAGTACTACTCGTCACCCGTGGATGACAAGCCTATAGGAACTCGTAAAAATTGACATCTACCCCAGGGGGTTATAAAGTTGTCAGGTACTGACTACCCGAGTCTAATGGGATTTGACAATACCGTGCTTGGCGTCCATTGTAGAAATATATACGGACTCACGTGATAATCCAGATATTGCATCTTTCGGGTTCTGTAGTCGTGTAGTGGATATGATGGCCCAGTAACAAATTTATTGAGCTTTGGCACAATAATCATTGGATGGCACGTCACTGGTGATATTATTTTTGATTCAACCATTCTTGCAGTTGCTGATGAACTTCATATCACCATGCATATGAAATTGTTCTACAGCAGTGGTTCCCAATCGGTGGGAAATTTAATGGTTGCTGGTGGGAAATGAACGCTCTTCTGAAAATGTACGAACAAAAACTCAAATGAAATATATTACAAAATGAAAATGTCAAAAATGACAAGAATTGGAAAAAGATTCCTATTCTGCCACGAGTACTCAAAATTTTGATAAAAATTGTTCCATACTTCTGGGCGTTGGCTGGCGAAAGGAACGATGTTGACTCAACTTGTGCATTTACTAACAGAGGTTGTGGAATAAAATGATCTCAGGGCAGAAATTTCTGACGAGTTGTTTCGAATTCGAATAGTTTGGCGTTTCTCGCGAACAAGTTTTGTCATTTGAAAGAATTAAATCGTAAATTATAAGGAGCAGATTCAAGTATACCTGAATAAAGATACACAATTGCTGCTTTCAATCAAATATGTGGGACGAATGGTATTTGCCACGTTTTTCGAAGTGAAGCTGTCAATCACTTTACCATGCTGATTGAGGAATCCCATCGCTACTTCCTCTGTTTTGAGCATGACACCCTTGTAATAGCGTTCACATGGAATTCTTTTAAATTGCCCTTTGAAGATTTTCTTGTAAGATTTGAGTAAGATAACCAAGAAGAATTTTTTTAAACTGATTCACGATTCGTCTGCAAAGACTTTATTTCGAAGATGAAACACTTAGTATATTCTGGGCAATGATGCAAAACGCATATTCGGAAATTGCTGCTAAGCCATTAATATTACTGACAGCATTCCCAGGCGTTGTTGCTTAAAAACAACAAAATCCTCTTATATCTATTAACAAGTAGAATGTTCAATTTCGACCAATTTCTAATATAGATTATATTTTGAATTGGGCCATGGGCGGAAAGCTAGAATATGCCAGACAGTCGTTTGTCCTGTAGAAAATGAAAAGACTGAGATAGCGACATTTTAGTTTCCACTTCCTAAAACCAATTCTACTCATATATTGCGTCGCTGTGCACGGCCGCTGTGCGCTTGTGGGGACGTCGCAACTCACCGAAAGGCGGAGTCGAAGTTCAAAACGAATGACTGATTTTGAATATAGTAAAAGTGCAAGAGATGATTTTCCACCGTGGCCCAACTTCCTATATTAGTTACTTTTCACAAACTTTTCAAATTAAAGTAGGTTTAATTTAACCAATTCCACATGTTTTCTCCATCCTGATCTCTCTCACATCTACGGAATCATTATAATCCTCTCGTAAGCATTATTGCTTTTAATTTTGGACTTAAAAAATCAAAAAATGAGAGTGAACAGTGAGTATTATATTAAAAAATGTATGCCTTATTTCAAGCAATAGTAAAAGTGAGTTCAAACCAGATACTATTTGGGCATTGGATGAGAAATAACTTGAACTGAATGAGAAACAAGTTAATTGGGCTCGACCAGTATATCATGAATACGGATAAGCAATGCTAAAGTATACTGACATTGAGATAGCGTCTTCGGCCTCAGCTGACCACTAAGTTTGCTGATAAAAGATCGGCGGACAAGCGTGATAGAACGACCCATTCTCTTGCATCATATGAAATTTTATGAATTAAATACGACATAAGCATTTAGAGGAAATATCAGGCCCCAACTTGGTTTTCAGTGTATATTTTTTCACCGGTGTGTGGCATGTCCAGGGAGTTTTTGCAAAGGCGTATTAACACAAAAATCTGCGAACCATTACTTTACGACATCTATATTTAGCGAAAACGTCTTTTGTTACGTCATATTTTGCATATTGCTGATTAGTCAATGTTGCGGATGTAACCAAGGAAGTTGATGTTCGGGGAAACATCAAT